TAGGGTGATAGATACAATATCCATTTATGGCCAAAAGTGCCTTGTTTGTATTGTTTTGTCTATCTGTCTGCGTTATAGATAGTCTGATCCAAAAGAGTATTCCCTGTATTGTTCTTAAAAACCTTAAAAATATTTTTAGACAGCAGGCAGGAGTACTATATTTGTTGCAGTAAAAAGAAGCAGAAATTGTCCAAATTACAATTGTCCTGTTTTTGTGTGGACAGGACATACTTGGGCATTTTTTGACATTGCCAGTGTTGTAACTGCATTGGAACAGTTTGACGAAAGGTGCAACTAATTAGGGAGCACATGACTTCAGTACTATTGCTGTAATGTTGACAGGACTCATAGCCTTTGTGGTATCCAGTAGCTTTAGCAGTTTCGTGATACAATGTGGCTGTAGATTGGTCTCTGTGATGCTGGAGACCTGAGGAGGAGACCAAGATGGATGATCCATTCAAAACTTCTTGCTGAATGTATGAAGCAAATGCTTCAACCCTATCTTTTACACAGACATGCAGGGCTCCCCCATGAAAATGTGGATCCTCCTCCTCTTGTTGGTTGTTTAATTGTTTACCACAATTCACAACCAGCCATGATAGATCTGTGGTGCTTTGCTCTCATCCATTAGTTGTGGGATTGCTTAGCTCTATCTATCACATGACTTAATTTCAACTTTTGCTAGGTTGACTCATCACTTTTAGATATGCTCCCATATGGCCCAGCTGCACTCTTCATTGAATCTGGGTTAATCCCTTACGATGACAGTAAAGAGAAGGATATGCAGGCAATGAGGTTACAGATTGTGGTTGAATCTAATTTTAATGCTGCTGATGGCCTTTAGCATAGTTGGCCAACTTTGAGGTGCTACATCTGATCAGACTCTATTCCATTTAGCTTTGCATTAGTGTGATAAAACCTGACGGACAGTATGCCCAGTGTGAAGATGGGTCCGCACCTTTGTAGGCACTGTGCAGTGGTCTGTCATGCATCTGCCATAGGTAGATTGATGAGGATGAGGTGAAGTAGGGTTATCCCTCTTGTTGTTTCCTTCACCCATTACAGGGGACCCAGTCTGTCAGATATGACTCAGAAGCAGGAATAGGCCATTTGGCCTTTAACTCAGCTGCACCATTTAATAAGATCATGGCTGATTTGGTTGTGGTCTCAGCTTCATTTCCTGTCTGTGCACAACAATCTTCAACTTAGCCAGCATGATCAGCAATGCTGCTAGCAAACCGCCAATGCTGATGGATGTTGAGGTTCCTCAGAGTACAATCTGAGCCCTTGACATCCTCGCTGCTTCTTTCAATTAGTGTCAACATGGATTACAGCTGATTTCATCAACTGAGTGTTGGGGGTGGGGGTGGCTGAGAGAGGAGGCAATGGTAGATTGTAAAATCAGCAGGATGCTTTCTTGCTCATGGTTGGCCTAATGCCATGACACTCCATGTTGTACAGAATCAATGTTGTGGACTCCCAGGGCAACTCCCTCCCAATTATATACCACTGTGCCACTACCTCTGCTGAGAGTATCCTGAAGGTGGGACAGGGAATATCCAGGGACAATGATGGTGGTGTCTGGAACATTGTTTGTAAGGTATGATTCTGTGAATGCTTTGATAGCTGTCCTAATTTTGGCACATGCTCTCAGGTGTTAGCGAGGAAGAATTTGCAGAGTTGACACTGCTAGTTGTGGTGTTGTGATTCCCAGTGCCTAAGTCAATGTCCAGCAATCTGTCCAGCTTTATTCCTTTCCTACTTATCTGTAGCAGTTTGCGACAACTGACATGGTCAGCTATCCTAACTGAGACATTAGTATGGTTAAAATATGCAGTTTAGGCATAACACTTTAGTCACAAATGATAAGTTTAAATTTGGACTGATCCAACACTTAATACTGCTGCTCTTTTATTTAGTAACGATGATGAAGAAATCAAAACATTTGTATTTGGGTCTCACCGCTGAAAATTCCTCAATCTGTGATTAGGCAGATAATCAGAAGCTTTTAAAACATGAGCCGTTCATTTACATTGAAGACATTAAATTTTCTTTTTACTAACTGACAAATTATGCTCATTCAAACTATAATAATTAAATGATTCTATTGTTTATTTGATTATGTTATCACACGGACAAAATAAATTTGGACAAGGAAGTTTTCACCAGATATACGTTACAGTGGAGCTAGGCTCAGAAAAGGTACATGCTCTGCTGCTGCTAAAGTATTTTGGGAATCATGAAAACACTATTTTCTATGATCTGAAAACAATACATAATAGGTGTTGAGGAAAGTTAGAACACTGCTGGGGTGTGTTTGAATCCAATGCAAAGCAATGGAACAACAGGCTCCTCTCGGATATGAGTCCACGGGGAAAAGTTGTTAACCAATTAAAAAAATTCATATCATCCTGACAAAGTGTGTGGAAAATGGTGCAGGCATATTGATGAAGGAGCACATAAAATATATGGGCAGAATTAGGCCATTTGGCCCATCTACTCCAAAATTCAGTCATGGCTGATATGTTTCTCAGCCCCATTCTCCTGTCTAATCCCTTAATAGTCAAGAACTTATCTATCTCTGTCTTAAAGACACATGATGACTTGGCCTCCACAGTCTTCTGTGGCAATGTGTTCTACCGATTAATCACTCATCTCAATTCTAAATGATTGTCCCTTCACTCTGAGGCGTGACCTCAGGTCTCTCCTACTAATAAGAAACATATTCTCCACATCTACCCTATCCAGACATCTCAGTATTCTGTTAGTTTAAATGAGATACCCCCTCATCCTTCAAAACTCCTTCACGAACAAGCCCAGATTCCTCAACTGCTGCTCATATGATTAGGCCTGCATTCACGGGATTAATCTTGTAAACCACCTCAGAATGCCCTCCAACGCCAACACATCCTTCCTTAGATACAAACTTGAGGTATTTTTCTTGTGTGGTGAAAATTGGGCAAGTGTTTACTGGTAGAATCGGGATTGCTGATGAAAAGAGGCTGAAATCATAATAATAAGCAACTGTCATTTCGACAGCATATTGGGAACATTAGAGTTAGGATTAACAGTTTACAGCTTTGTAGGATGGGATTTGAAAAAGTTTAATTTAGACATTAAATAAAAACTCTTCCATACACACCAAAAATTTCTCGAAGCACTAGATACCCTGCCTACCTGTCGCACTATATCAGAGACCATGGGAGTGTTTGCTTCTGTGCCAGATCGGTGTAAGGCCGAAATGCCTTGCAGGCTAATATGATACAATCAATTATATCCATTGGTGTTCTACCTGGACCCATTGTCCAGGAGTTTATAGCAGCAGCATGTTCAGTGGCCAGGGTTCTGCTCTGCAGTTTGCACACCACATCCATGCTGCCTGCCTGCCCTCCACTATTGACAGTAATTGGCCTAAACAACAGCAACAACTGTCTTATCAAATGGTAGCACCGTGGTTAGGTAACTAGACTATTAACTCAAAAACCCGGGCAAATGATCCAAGGACAAAATTCAAATAATACCATGGCAGCTGTCAAATTTAAGTTTGCTTCAATAAATACGCAAGAAAAAGTTAATATGGGAAATAATGACCATGTAACAACCAGTTTGGCTTAAGAACTGTTCTGTTTCACCATTGTCCTTTAATAAATCCTTCAATAAAATGATCTCTATGTAACTCAAGTTCCACATCAATATGGTGACTCTCAACCACTCTCTGAACTCAACTAATACTCAGCTGTGTTCAATTCATCACAACCCTCTCAAGGGCAATTAATACTTGCTATGTCAGCAATATGCACACCCTATGAATGAATAAATATGACTTTATTAATAGAGGTATAAAAGTACAAGAGCAAAGAGGTTGTGGTGAACTTATGTAAGATACATATTTGGTCTTAACCAGAAGTTTGCTTCCAGTTCTGGGTGCTGCACTTTAAATAAATGTGAAGGCACTGGAGAAAGTGCTGAAGAGTTTTATGAGAGTGGTTCCAAGGAAGAGGAAGTTCAGTTATCAAGGTAGATTGGAGAAGTTGTGATTATATTCATTAGACAAGAGTAGGCTGAAATGAGATCTGGTTGAAGTATTCATAATCAGAAGAAGACCATTAATAGGGGGAAAATATTTCCACTCATGAAAGGATCAAGAATGAGAGCACACAGATTTTAAACTAATCAGTAAGGGAAGCAAAAATGATATAAAGAAGAAGTATTTTCATGCAAAGAAAGATTCAGATCCAGAATGGAGTAGCCAAAAATATGGTGAAAGAGGTTCAATTGACGCATTGAATAGGGATGCCATTGGCTATTTGAAAAGAAAAAAATGTACAGGATTATAGGGAGAAGGAAGAGAATGGCACTAAGTAAGATGGTCATTTGAAGAGGGAAACCAAGGGCCAAATGCTATGCTGTAGCAACTTTGTGAAATTCTGTGAAATAAAAAAGTTTCTCTTCAACATTTTAGGCCAGTGTCTGGGCATGTTAAATTGCCGAGGTGTATAGAGAAATATCAGCCTGGCAGATGGCATGCCTTACATGGGGTTCAAATGGATTGTCTAGCAATTATTAATGTGATTACCCCAACAAAAATTCTCTCTGGTGCAGTTAATCCAACACACCCATAGGCAAGAACAGGAGCAATTGCCGATTATGTTATAATGTATACACATAAAAGAATCTTTTCTGTGCTATCAACATTCAAACTAGTGAACTGGATTCATCTTTAATAAGTCATCTTCATCTTGCTGGAGGGAAATACATCATATTTTGTACAACACTGTGCTTCTCAGGAATGACATTCAGCATTAGCTTGAAATATAATTTCCTCAAAATTTCACACAATATGAATAATATTATTATGATTGATCATGGAAAGACGAATCCAGTTGCCAGTCTTTTTTATGATGTATCTAAAATGGACTCACTCTATGTTAGAGACTGCATTGCAGTTTTCACTTGTGAAAAAATTGCTTTCATTGAAGCCATTAATCATTGGTACTTACTCTAACGCCCATGAACTTGTCTTTGAGCACAATCCAAGAGAGCAAAAAGACAAATGCTTTGTTGCAACAAAAAAGAGCAGAGACATCTGTGGCTGTTAATTTCTTCAGAGCAAGTAAATATAGGTAATTAGTTAATGTCCAGAGGATAGAAAATGGGGCTGTTCTTTTCAGAAAGAGTCTCAGAGTCAGTCCTTCTTCTCCGAAAATCCGACTGCATTCCCTGTAGGCAATGAGCAGATAGACGTATAATCAGAGATATATGTAGCAGTAACTTTTCTTTCACAGCATCTATTAAGTTAATGACAAACATTAACATGCCTACTACACCATCAAATAAATATTTCTTCAGATATTTTGTTATCTAGCATATAAGCTTTTAATAAAGCTGATTTTTGTTCCTATGGACATAGTTAATTGAGTTGCACATTTGAAGGGAATTGTTTCCAAGATATACCAATTGATTCCTAATTACAGGAATCCTTTTTGATCCATTTTCTTTGTGACTTAGCAGAATCAATGAGAGTTTAATTTCCAGAAGGTGTCTCAATAAGTAGGTTCTGGCTATACAATTGTATAGATGTTTCATTTTGATTGTTCAACATCCTGAATGAGCAGAAATTTCCCTCAATTAAATATTGGGAATTCCAGTGCCATTATCTTTGATCCCTGCCACAAACTCCATTCCCTAGCCACCAACTCCAAGGATTCCCATGGTAACTATCAGAAGCTTAATCAAGCATTCACAATCTTCGTGTCATATTTAGCCCTGAGTTCTGCTTCTAACTACATATTGAGGCACAGAGTTTACCAAATGGAATGAGGGTCTTCAATACATCATATACATACTGGTCCTCAAGCACCTATTGACTTTAACCAAATTTACCAGCATTTGGCCTGTAGCCTTGGATGCTATGGTGTTTCAAGGTCTTCATCTAAATTCAGCTTAAATTATGTGATGGTTCCAACATCTACCAACCTTTCAGGCAGTGGGTTCCACATACCCACCATCCACTCAGTGAAAGCATTTTTCCTAAATTTCCTCTTAACCTCTTACCCCTCACCTAAAATTTATGCTTCCTGGTATTGATCCTTCTACTACTCTATCTACCCTCTCTATGCCCTTCATAATTTTGGACCCCTCAAACAGGTTCTCTCCTCTTCATAGCTTAAATGCGCCAGCTCAGGACAACCTCCTGGTGAATCTCCTTTCCTATATTGTGGGAACCAGAATTGCTCACAATACTCCAGCTATGACTTAACTAAAATCTTATACAGCTCTCTGCTCTTATACTCAGTGCCTCAACTAATAAAGGCGAGTGTCCATTTGTCTTCTTAACAACTTTATCCACCTGTTCTCCTGCCTTCAAGGATCTATGGGCATACCACAACAAAGTCCCTCTGATCCTCTGTACTTCCTAGGCTCCTAATATTCATCATGTTTTCCTTTGCCTTGTTAGTCTTCCAAAAAATAGGTCACTTCGTACTTTTCAGGATCACATTCCACTTCTCTGTTTTGTTTACTTGACCAGCCCATCTATATTAGCCTATCATACTATTTTCCACACCATCAACTTTCATGTCATCTGCAAGCTTATTGTTCAAACCCCATGTCCAGATCACTAATGGACACTAGGAAGCCAGCACCAAACCTTGACTTATGCCACTGGACATAGGCTTCCAGTCATAAACACAATCTTTGACAATCACCCTCCATCTTTTCCCACTAAGCCAATTTTGAATCCAATTTGCCATACTGCCCTGGTTCCCATGGGGTCTTAATTTCTTCATCAGTCAACCATGCAAGACGGTGTCAAAAGTCTTACTGAAGTCGATGCAGAATACTTCAACTGTACTACACCCATTTACACAAACATGTCAGATATGATCTCCTTTGGCGAAGTCATGCTGACTATCCTTGATTAATCTTTGCCTCTCCAAATGGAGATTAATTCTGTTCCTCAGATTTTTTTTTCCAAATGTTCCCCTACTGCAGATGCTATACTCATGGCCTATAGTTCCCTAGTTTCTCGCCACCACCCTCCTTGAATAATATTCCAAATATTATCTGTCCTCTCTTCTTTTATCACTTCTCCTGCAGACTGAGAGGATTTGAAAATTAATTTCAGGGGTCCTGCAATCTCCTCCCTTGCCTGGTAAAGCAGCCTGGGATATATCTCAGACAACAAAGTGCAGGGCTGGATGAACACAGCAGGCCAAGCAGCATCATAGGAGCAGAGAGGCTGACGTTTCGGGCCTAGACCCTTCATCAGAAAAGGCATCTGCAGTTCCTACTATATCTGGGATATATCTCATCTGGGCCTGCAGATTTAACCAATTTAAAGCCCACTAATATTGCTAATACCTCCTCATTCTTAATGCTAGTTTGTTCAAGTGTATTGTTATGTAAACTGTGTGATATATAATATATATATTTAATATAATTTGTTGTAAACTTGGAATTTTGGTTAGAGCTAGTAACATGTAGCTTTCTTCTGTGTATGAAGTTAGCAATTAAGTTATAAATATTTCTGTGGCCATGATAATTTATTTTAAGACAGCTGTTGAGGCCTAGCTTCAGAATTAATTTTTTAAAAATATATTCATAGGGCTTTACAACCAAACAGGATAAATAAGCTCCAGTTCAGAAAATCAGACTAAGTTTTTTTAAGCTTGAGACGCATCCACATCTTTGAGAGAGATTGTGTTTGATTTAGTTTTACTTTGAGTTTTGAGCAGTCCTGTGAAATCATTGGTTGAAGAGCCAGTGTAGACCAGTGTTCCTGACAAGGGAAGGATACAGTGAAACTGGATTACTTTAGAGTAATGAGGTAGTCATCACCATAGGCCAGAAACATTAGTGATAAACTCTGAAGAGGTTACTTAAAGCTATGCATATTTAAACTCAAGGAAAAGCTATCTGGAGTTCCAACATATAAGTTAAGTCAAAAATTACTTAAACTGACCAAAGCGTTACAGGCAGGGACTCTGCTATTGTATGAGTAGTGTTTTTGGGTGCTGTACCAGGGGTGTGTTTGAATACTTGACAAAAGCTGTTTGCTTTTTTTCAAGTTATAAAGGAGTGTATGGGATTAACGGGATTATACTTTTACTATGTGTTTAAAAATCTTTGAATTTGTGCTATAAATAGATTATTTGATTTATTCTATTTTATCTTCATTTCTCCTGTTAATAAACGTGTTTCGTTATTAAAGCAAAAACTTTCAGCGAAAGACCACGTTGTTAAAACTAAAACAAATCAAAATATGATTTCTCAAGCCAGGTTTCAGTCTAGCATCTTATGTGTGCAGTAATAACATTAGTTGGAATCAGAATGATATCACAGTCCCTTCCCTGATTTCTATACATATATTCTCCATCTTAGTAGTGAATACAAATTCAAATTACTCATTTAAAACGTCACCTACATCTTTCAGCTCCACACACAGATTGCCACTTCTGTGCCCAATGGGTCTTACTTTTTCCCTGGTTATCCCCTTGCCCCTAATATACTTATAAAACATCCCTAACAGAATATATTCTTTTTACACCTCTTTTACATTATCCATTCCACCCCTGCTTCAACTCAACTGCTACTGATACCCTTATCAATGCACTTGTGAGCTCCAGAAAACATCTCCAATGATCTCCTGGTTGATCGCTGAGCTTTCACCCTCCATAAACATGAGCTCATCTAAATGTCTGCTGCCCATATCTTGACTCCCACCATGTCATATTCACCCATCAGCTCTATGCTTGCTGACCTACAATTGCTCTGTTCAACAATCCTTGTTTTCAACATACTCTATCATCTCGCCTCCTTTCTATTACTGTAACTTCCATCAGTCCCACAGACCTCCGAGGGTTCTTGGCACTTCCTATTTAGTGCTGTTGTACAGTCAGAATTCATCTGTGCCTTCTGCAGCCAATATCCTAAGAACTGCAACTCTCTCCCTAAAGCTTCGTGTTTTTTTATCCTCCTTACCCCTTTAAGCTGGTCCTTAAAACCTACCTCTTTGACCACATTATTGGCCATTTGTCCTATTATGTATTCCCTTCTGTAATTTGATGTCAAATTTGATCATGTTTCTTTGAAATATCTTCATGATCTTACCATGTTAGAATTTCTATGAAAGAGGCTGTTATTATTGTTGACATTAAAACCAAAATATGTTCCAATCTGCAAATATTGTGACAACATGATAAAGGGACTTGTCAGCTAGGAACAATGTGCTGAAAATGCTGCATTAACTAACTTCATTAACAAACCTAGCAATGTATCATTTTGAATTGCATAATATCTTTTAATGTTTTCTTTATCAAAAAGAGAACGAATCAGTACCTAATTTTTTTAATTAGCGTCTGCTTTTCCTGTGCTGAAGCCAAGTGTCCCGAGTAGTACACAGGGAAAAACATTATGTTCCAATTTGTAGAGAACCAGGTCATAAAAAAAGGACAATGGAAGTTCTTGTATGTAACTTTGACAATCTGTGTAGTACCAACCCAGGAGGATGATACAGAAAGAATGACCAGAAACCCCCAGAAAATCTTGAAGAACGCAGAGGTGCACGATTGACAGCGTGTCTTAGCATTATTATCTGGATCACTATTTTCGGTCCGATTCTCTGAAGCTTCTTCTCCTGGGAAATGAAAAAAAAAATTTAAAACACAGAATAAATAAGTACACATGATCTACTGCAAAACCTGACAGTAATGACTGCTTTGAGATCCTTCTGTTTTAAACAGGGAAATAAAACTTAGAAATATTGGAACAGGAGAAGATAATTCAGCTCATTCAAACTCCTCAGCCCTATTTGCCAGCCACAACCAATATTCCCTCTCACAAAAACAGAAATTGCTGGCGAAACTCAGCAGGTCTGGGAGAATCTGCGGGAAGAAAGCAGAGTTAATGTTTCAAGTCTTGCGTCTGTTCTAATGAAGAGGCACCGGACTCGAACTGTTAACTCTGTTTTCTTCTCACAGTCCTGCTGAAATTCACCAGCAATTTTGGTTTTTTGTTTCAGATCTCCAGCATCCACAGTTCTTTGCTTTATTTCAATATTTCCTCTAAGCTGCACAGGCGTGCCGTCATGCAACAGGCTGGAATGTACTGCAATGAACAGGTTTCTGAAAGCTACAATTGCTTCTAAGATGCACCTGTGCACGGTCAAATAATAATCTTGAGTGTACTGTGTAGTTCATTTAAACATACATGAAATAGGAGCAAAAGCAGACCATTTAGCCCCTTGAGCCTGTTCTGTTATTGAACAATATCATGGCTGATCTGTCTGTATTTCAAATTCCATGTTCCCATCTATGCCCGACTACCCTTGTTTCGTCTGCCTGACAAGAATCTGTCTACCACCTTTTTACTAATAGATAATGAGCCCCACTTCCACTGCCCTTTGAGGTAGAGAGTTCTGAAGTCACGCAACCCTCTAAGTGGAAAAATGTGTTCTCATCTCTGTCCTAAAATGTTGACCCCTAATTTTAAAACCCCTATTTCAGGACTCACCCACAAGACGAAAATTCTTTTCTGTGTCCACCTTGTCAAGAGCATTCAGGATCTGAAACACTTCAATTAAGTTACCCCTCACCCTTCTAAACTCCAGTGGAAGCAAGGCCAGCCTGTCCAAACGTATCTTCATGAGACAACCCACTCAATTCGGGAATCAATTCAGTTCTGAGGAAGGGTCACCGCACCTGAAACGTTAACTCTGATTTTTTCTTCACAGATGCTTCCAGACTTGCTGAGCTTTTCCAGCCACTTCTATTTTTGTTCATCAATTCAGTCAATCCCTGTCTTCAGTGCATTTACATCCTTCATCGAATTAGGAGACAGAGGAGCATGCAGTACTCAAGATGTGATCTCATACCCCATGTAATTGAAGCATAACATGCTTACTTTTAAGTTAAATTCATCTCATTATAAAGCTTAGAATCCACTTAACCTTCCTGATTATATGCTCTAACTGACTCTTCCCAATTACAATGATTTTGTTCTAAGTGCGTAACTATAATCTCTTCAATGATCGATTCTATCACTTTTTCCACAACAGACATTAAGCTAAGTGGCCTATACCTGCCACTTTTCTCTCTTCTTGAATAGAGTGATAATATTTATTACTCTCGAGTCTGGTAGAATCTTTCCTGAAACAAGGGAATTTTGGACAGTTAATGCTAATGCATCTACCAGCTCATTAGTCCCCCCTAGGATGAAGCCTATTAGGACCCTTAGTCCTGTCAGCCTGCAGTTCCATCAGTTTGTTCACTAACATTTCCCTCATGACAGTAATTTCAAAAAGTTCCTCTCTCCGTTCCACCTCCTGAATTACAGCTATTACTGGAATGATTTTTGTATCCACAATGGTAAACAAAGGCTGTGTTCATTTCATCTGCAATCTCATTATCTATGATTAATTCCCTATCCTCACTTCCTAGAAGATCATTTATTACACTTACTTTTAAGATCACTACTTACACGTTTTCTTTTTAAATACCAATAGTAACTCTTGCTAACCATTTTACAGTCCTAACTAGCTTTCTCTCACACTCTTAATTTCTTCCTCCTGATTAATCATTTTGTTCCTTATTTTCTAACCAATCACCTGACCTGCCACTCATCTTTGTGCTGTAAAATTCTTCTTCCTTAAATTTGATGTTTTCCCTAACTTCTTTAGTTAACTACAGATGCTGGGCCCTCCAGAACAATTCTGAAGAAGAGCCATACCAGACTCTAAACTCTGTTTCCCTCTCCATATATGTTCTGGACCTGATGAGCTTCTCCAGCATTCTTTATGTTTCTTTCAGATTTCCAGCATCTGCAGTATTTTTCTTTTCTTTGAACAATAAATGTTTCAGTTCAATTGCCCTTTATCAAAACTGCTGCGGAATATTTCCAGCATTTCCTGTTTTTATTCCAGGTTTCCAGAATCTGCAGTATTTTGCTTTAGTATCAATTAAACAGCAGGTTTTCATGATGTCATTAATGTGATAAATAAAATGAATTGAAATATCTAGCACTGTTTGAATTGCTCAATGCAGGCCTCTCAAGCTAACAGTGTAGGAAGTTAATAGATCATCTTGGTGTTAAATGCCTTCATCTATATTTCTAATATACATGCCTCTTGGGCATTCCTGGGACAATTATCAGGAATATCAACTCTTGTATTTTGAAATATATTTATTTATTTTGAAATAGAAAATGATTTCTTTGTCAAACAGCACAATTGCCTTTGCAGCCATGGGCTCTGGGGAATGAATTCCACAGTCTCACAACTCTTTAGGGAAGTTTTTTGCTGAATTTGCTTTTAACTACCTCCACTGAATACCAAGGTTAAATCCACTCGCTTTGGATTTCCCTAAATGTGGAGGAGAGTCTGCTCTATCAATGCCATACATTATTTTGAACACTTCAGTCAGATTTATCCTTAAGTTCCCCATCACATGGAATAGAAACTACTTTCAGCCAATGTCTTATCATACCTTAGTCCCTGCATTTAATTATCATCCTGTTGGATCATTGTTGAACTTTTCCCTAGGCAGAACACTTTGCTTAGTGAACTGAAACAACAACCTTCAGCAACACAGTTGTAGAAACAAAGATTGCAGAAAACTATTTCGTATTGCAGAGTGTCAGTGTCAAACAGCATGGGGAATTAGTGCAGTGAGTAGTATGAAGATATTGTTATGATCCCAACTGATACTATTATTAGACAAATTAGATTCTAGATTGAAATCTGAACTGACTTTTTTTTAGTTAACAAGGTGTCTTTTATTGAAACATAAACTCTCAATGCAGATTTGGTTTTAACAATAAAACAGAAGTTTATTATGCAAAATAAATGAAGATAAAATAGAATAAACCAAACTACTTACACATATTATAGGTTGAAAGATTTCAAAACATGGCAAAATACAATCCTATTTATCCCAACATCATCACTTTAAAGTATGCAAACACCAGAGATTTTCCTTCTCTATCACGTCTAAAGATTTGATTTAATTGTTTCTTTCAATTCTCAGTCTTGAGATGTTCATAATTCATACAATTGAGCTTAGGCTTTTGCAGTCACAGGACCCGAAACGTTAACTCTGTTTTCTCCTCCACAGATGCTGCCAGACCTGCTGAGCTTTTCCAGCAACTTTGTTTTTGTTTAGGCTTTTGCAGCTTCAAATAACCCTTCAGGTCATAATAAAATACTTCTGGTCTGGAATTTTCAAACTAAAGCCTTCACACTAAAGTAACTTATATCCTAATTGTTCCTTTCTTGAGGAGAAACTGTTCTTACATCGAACTTCAACCAGGACTTCAGCAAAATGAAACCAAATGTTTTTCAATTGATATTATTAATTAAAAATAATCAATTCCTGAATCTTCTAATGAAAAGCAAGCTAATGCTTTTCAATTTGTATTTTGTTTGACCATAAAACTTTCACAACAAAATCAAATCCCCATTTTCATCTCAGGAACTCTCGCTCTCATACTAGGTTTTAAAAAATGGCTCCAGAAAGAATGAAAAGTTAATCATTGTCCTTCATAAATATAGATGAAAACCCACATGTCACTAGTTCAAACTCTAAAGTAAATGATATTAATTCACTTACATATATATACCTTACATCATAATAAATCTACAATTTGAGCAAAACACACTCAGAGGAGTAATTTCAATCTTTATATACTAGGTGAGGAACTTCACCTTCAGAGAACACATAATATAGAAATTTTGTCATTGGATTTACACAACTTCCAACTATTAATTTAAATCTTTAGAGAATCATGCACAGCAAATTTTTGAGATACACACTTGACAGAAGCAAACAACTTGCAAGTATGGAATACAAAATAAGAAAGACATTCATTAGATATAAAAGTAATGATTAAACATACTTTGTAAAAATGAAATTACCAGACACTAGAAAACCAAATCATCACTAAAAAGATTAAAAACCTCTACCTACCTAGAGTGTAAATTAAGCAATGAAATAGACATATTGAAACTATGTACAGCAGCACAACTGTTGTTAGTTCAGTGCATTTTACAATTCATCTATTTTAAGACACGCTATTTCATATTGACAAGCGATATTAATAAAGGAAGCTCGTGAAAATATACTTGTAGATGCAGCATATGACTAGAGGATGCAATGGCCTAGTGGTATTATCCCTGGACTGTTAATCAAGACACTCAGATAACATTCTGGGGACCTGGGTTCAAATCCCACCACAGCAGATGGTAGAATTTGAATTCAATAAATATCTGGAATTAAGAGTCATGAATCGATTGTTCATTAATGTCCTTTTGGGAAAGAAGCTGCCTTCCTTACTTGGTCTGCCCTACATGTGACTCCAGACCCACAGCAATGTGGGTGACTCTTAAATGCCCTCTGGGCAATTAGGGATGGGCAATAAATGCTGCCTAGCCAGCAATGCCCTCATCCTGTGGATGAATTAAAAATAAACTTGCAAGATTACATTAACACATGAGAGCTAATGAGGCTCTTGCATGCTCCAACACAAAGCATTTTGCCAACTGAAAATGACTTTTACCAAACGGGCACTGAAAGCAAAATTCAGAAGGTGCATTTTCTGATTTCACAGAATACATTTACAGAATACATTCCAACTTGAGCCACT